TGCTGAGAAAAGAAAGAGAAGAAGCAGATTCTGTTGCCATGGAGAAAGAATTTGAGTTCCCTGATAAGGCAAAAGGTAAGACCCAGAAGAGAAGCCTAGCAAATTCATGGAAAGAGTCGTCAAGTCTGAAAAGAACGAGGCTCTCAGATGCTGAAGGAGAAAGTAAATGTGGTGGGTTTTTGGAGGAAGCCTACATCTCGCAGTCATCTGATGCTTCCTCAAGCGAGGAAGCAGAGTGTTTACCTTTAAGGAACATGCAGCAGGGAAAAGCAGCTGGAGAGGCAAAAATCAGCTCTTCAGATTTGCAGAACACAGTGAAACCTGATCCAGTAAGGGACAAAGGTGCCACTACAAGCAGCTCGAGTGAAGATGACGGAGAGAAAACAAAACCAGTCATGGTGACTGCCAGATCTGTGTTTGGGAAGAAAAAGAGGAAACTGGGAAGCACAAGAAGGAGAAAGAAAAACCTAGTTTAAACGTGTACTAGTATTCTCTGTACTTGTGAGGGAATAATAAAATTAAATGTATCTGCATAGCCTTTGTATTTAAAAAATATGGACGCTTGCCCTAAAGCTGATTGGGCTTCGTGGATAGAGCATCCGCCTGGGGATTGAAGGGTCCGGGGTTCAACTTCAGTCAGGGGCATCTTCAGTTGTTGCAGGCTCAACTCCTGGCCCCCGGTTGGAGTGTGTGGGGAGGCAACCAATTGATGTACAATGATGTTTCTCTCAGTCTCTTTCCCTTCTTTCAACTACCTCTAAAAGAATAAAATAAAAATAAAAATATGGACACGTAACTTGACACAATTATTTTTCAATGCGTTACATTTTTCTAGGTTTTTTTCTTTGTTGTTTTTTTGTTTTTTTACCTCATTGAGTATTTCCTTGTACTCGCAGGCTTTGTTTATATTTGTTATTGTACAATGCCTGATGCTTTCTGACAATATTAGAAAAAAAGGATTTATATTGCTCAGTATTCACTCTTGATAAACATCCCTCTGACTTTCCAACCTAGATGGGAAGAAAAATATCCTGATTTCTCATTGCACAGCAGTGGCAGTTACACTATAGTTCACAGTGTAACTATAGTTCACAGTGTAACTCTTATCCCCCACTGCTTCCCATTTCCCTCAGGGTCCCCTTAAAACACATGTGTCAAACACAAGGCCCGCGGGCCAAATCCGTCCCGCCAGGCCTTGCAATGTGGCCCGCACCGCGCTGTCATCACTGCACTCCGCTGCGTTTCCATCACAATGACAGTTTATGACTGTTCAGTAAACCATTCGGCCCGCGATTTAGGCTGGATTTTAGATTTTGGCCCCTTCTCTGATTGAGTTCGACACCCCTACCTTAAAAGAATAGCAGATGGACTTTCACTGCCACAGCATACTTGAGGAGTATATCTGCTGTGATTAGGAGACGTTAATGGGGGTGCATGATTCCACCTGTGAGCATTACTTGTATGGTAACCTCTGTATCGTGATGTTCTCCTTTTAAAGTTCTTCAGTTCCGCCGAAACCGGTTTGGCTCAATGGATAGAGCGTCGGCTTGGGGACTGAAGGGTCCCAGGTTCGATTCGCGTCAAGGGCATGTACCTTGGTTGCGGGCATATCCCCAGTAGGGGGTGTGCAAGAGGCAGCTGATCGATGACTCCCTCATTGATGTTTCTAACTCTGTATCTCTCTCCCTTCCTCTCTGTACAAAATCAATAAAATATATTTAAATAAAGTTCTTCAGTTCCAAGCTGACTTCTGTGTAATGGTGGCTGGGCAGGAGTGGGGCTTCAGGCCTGTAATTGAACAGGGGTAGGTGGGTTCTAGAGGTTGATTATTGTTAACGGAGTGGCCCAGCCAAGGTAAGTTTGTGATTCCTATGCCTTTTCTGTCATTTTAGTATTTCCATCTTTCCTTTTTTCCTTCCTAAGTCTAAATACTTGAGAATCTTCAACAATGGAAACTAAATTCAAATAAATACCTTTCTACAATTTTTGGATGACCCCTGGATGCTTTTTATAGGCTTTCACTTATATTTACTTTTCAGCCCACTCCCCAAATATTTGGACTACAGCTGTTGTTTTTCTTTGCTCACTATTTATTCCTTTCTAATTTGAAATGTGTCTTCTGCTTCTGTCAGTCAAGTCACTTCCATACAAATAAACTTGTCTTAATGCTTCTTTTCTCTCAAGGTATTTGAAGCAGAACAGTTTTGGGGATGAGTGGCAAATTGACTATATTTTTCTCATTTCTCAAAACTATTTATAATCAGGAGTTTTCCACATATGTGTTTGTAGGTAGGATAATAGTCATTCTGCTAAAGAAATTAACTTTTTTGCCTTTGATTAATTTACATTTGTTTTGCCCTGTAATAGCTGGTATGAAGGCTAAGCTCAACCGCTGAGCCATGCCAGGAGGGTGGAAGAATCTCGTAGAGATGTTAATCAGCTTTACCAAATTCACCCATCTGGTATGAAAACATTGTACCCTGAACCAAAATCTAATTTGAAATCCAAGGTGCTGTTTTACTTATAAAATAGCCTATTTAAAGCAAACATCAGCAAACCAGATTTATCATTATTCAAAGCAAGTTGGTATACCTATACCTTAGGATGATTACCATTGTATACAGTTTTTTTCAAAATTATCTTTTAGCTCATTAATATTTAATTAGGTTTCTCTGCATTTGCATCTATTGAGCGTTATATTTCTTATAATTTCAGTTCTATTTTGCTCATTTTTTATAGAATCCAGTTCTCTGGTGTAATTCTTGTCATCAATTTTTATTTTTTTATTTTTATTTATTTTTTTATAAAGATTGAATCTTTTTTAAAAAAACATTTTACTGATTTTTTACAGAGAGGAAGAGAGAGGAATAGAGACTTAGAAACATCGATGAGAGAGAATCACCAATCAGCTGCCTCTTGCACACCCCCTACTGGGGATGTGCCCGCAACCAAGGTACATGCACTTGACCGGAATCAAACCTGGGACCTTTCAGTCTGCAGGCTGACACTCTATCCACTGAGCTAAACCAGTTTCGGCTTGTCATCAATTTTTAAACATTTTAATAACCATTACATTGAAGTCTTTATCAAACAACAGTATCTGGGTTTCTGTTGTCTCTTTTTGGTTATGACTAATTTTGTCTGAATGCTGGACATTGTTTATTGAAACTTGTGGATTGCCTAAATCTTCCTCTAGAGAGGATTCCAGAAGGCCTTCTGGCAGGCAGCAGAGGGTAAGATCACCTCATTCAAATATGAACTGAGTCAATCAAGTCTGGTTTGCAGTCTTTCACACAGGATAGCTATTGTGTTGCTTACATCTTCTAGTCCACACCCCTCTTCTTACCCTCCATTTCCTAAAAAGTAATTTTTGAGGGGTACCAACTGACAGACATGTGTTTCTATTCTTTTGAGTTTTGCTTTACTTTTACTCACCTTATGCTTAGAAAATTAGCCTCTTGCTCTAATAGTCTATCTTACTGAGCAAAATATCTTGAGTATCATGTCAGACTTTCTTTTCTGGGGTCTTGGATTCTCAATATTTGGCTGCCTTGCCAGCTTCAAACACTATTCTTTGTCTTCCCAGTTTTGTGTGATTGCCTTAAACTCTTCTGGCATCCTTCCTTGTCCTCTCTCTGACTTCTCAACCTCTTTGCACCAATAATCAGCAAAAATATGGAATATTTATCTTTCTTAGCAGCTCTCTGATGCTTTCTTGTGTGTGTAGTGTTTGAGAGAGAGGGGGAGAGTTTAAAATGTACTTTTAATTCTCAATATAAGCAGAACAATACGCTACATAAAGCTGGAGGCAGAATTCTCTATTTCTTAAACAGTGCAATATAAGATAATCATTGTCATCATGTAAATTTAGATAACAGATTTTCAATTGGTGTACTGCAAGAATTTTTTAAACATTGATACCTGACCTCTTCTTAGATTGTAAAAAAAGAAAAAGACATTAAGCAACACGATAACCATCCTGTGTGAATGAATTAAAATTATACCTATTTTGCCCAGCTGGTGTGGGCCAGTGGTTGAGTTTTGACCTATGAACCAGGAGGTCATGGTTTAATTTCTGGTCAGGGCACGAGTTCAGGTTGGGGGCTAGATCCTCACTAGGGGCCGTGCAAGAGGCAGCCAATCCATGATTCTCTCTCATTGATGTTTCTATCTCTCCCTCTCTGAAATCAATAAAAAAAATACATTAAAAAATTATATGTCTTGTCAGATCAGCAAAAAAAAATTTTTTTTTTTTTTTGGTGTGCTGCAAAATTCGTAATTTATGTGTGCCATGAGATGAAAATGGTTGAAAAGCACTACTTTAGATAATTGCTTTAAGAATTCTACCTCTTGGGAAATCCATCAGCGAGGTTTCATAATCTTTAAAATAGATCCTTTGGTGTTTTTATTCACCAAATGAGTTTTTATTCTTGTTTTAAAAAGGGCCATAATGAGAGAATGCCTTCTGCCTAGAATTAACTGCCTATGAATAAGTTTAAATTGTTTAGGAATTTGCAGTTTCCAGAATGTTTTTCACCTATCACACTCATCCAACAAATATATATTGTGTGCCATTTATAATCCTGTTTATAAATGAGGAAGCTATGGAAACACCACATAAAGTGCCTAAAAAGCACAAGCTGATTATTGACAGGAATTAAGATTGGGCTCCCAGACCACTAGTCCTGTCCTACATATTAACTTGACCTCAATTAACTTTGTATATATTATGGGATGTAAAGTATTTCTTAGGACCTGCATTCACAAACTCCTGAGTTTATTGAACTTTACAACATTGGTTTTGTTACCCATAATAACTTTTAAGGATATTTTCATTAAGTATTGAACTGCCATATGCTGAAATAAATCAGATGGAAGAGGACAAAAATGTATGATTTCACTCATGGAATATAAAACAAAAAGTAACAAATGAACTAACAAACTCATAGAGACAACAGAATAGTGATTACCAGGGAAGAAAGGAGGTGGGTGGGCAGAGTGAAGTGGGTAAAAGGGTCAAATATACGGTAACAGAAGGAAACTGCTTCAGATAGGGAGCATGCATAGAATGCACAGATGTTGAATTATAATTTACACCTGAAAATTATTAACCAGTTACTTTTATCCCAATAAGTTTAATTTTAGAAATACATTTTCAGTGAACAGGGGTTATTTAATATGTACTCAAATGCTACTCTACATGCATATGTGCAGGTGAACAGGTGGACACACCCCTTAGCCTTCCTATTCTGAGTAGGAAGGAATCCTGGTAATTAGATTCCTGTGTCCAGAGCACAACAGCACACATTCAAAAACATTCTGGTTCTAAGAACGATGTTTGCCACCCAGACAGGTGACATGAAAAATATGTAGCCTCGGTCTCTCAGAATGTCATAACTGAAGAGTCTTAAATAACTCTTGGTATCAAATTAAAAGATGGATCGCTTCGCCCAAATAATCTTCAGTCACTTGAAAGAGTGATTTATATTCACCTACTTAACTTTAGCTGTATTCATGCGACATTCACATGGGATATTTCTACTGTACTTCAGGCCCCTTATTCATGGGCGTTCCAGCCTCACTGCTATATAACCAGAGGCTCTGAGCTGCAGCTGGCAGGACCCTAATCCCTTCTGCAAGGACTCGAGGAATTGCTGCCAGTGTGTACAAACTGCCTGCTCGCCTTTCAGGCACCATCAGAGGTCTCATCAGCAAAACAAAAGTTGTGGATGATTCTTTTTAACCTTCCAGAAATTCAGCTAACTCGTTTAGGTAGGTCCAGATTTAACACTTAGTAAATGTTGACCTTCAGGCAGACACGTATAATAAAGAATGCTCTCTTTAAAGGGAGAGAAACCGGGAACAAGAAGGGTGACCACTCTTGCTACTGTTTAGCCATGTAACCTCAGGCATGTAATTTAACCTTTTCTCCTCTCCCTTATTTGCAAACTATAGGGGAAATAATTTGTCTTCTAACTTACTGTAAAGAAAATGTGATGGCTATGAAAAATGTTTTGGGATCCTTGGAAGAAAGGAGTGCTATATAAATTAATGATAGTATAGTTGTTATTTTATGGCCCCAAATTGAGATTTAAGATCAAATAATTGCTTTCCAAAGTTGGAATAGCAGTTTGTTTAAGTTTATTCACAGGATAGTCTCTATTGAGAAGCATAAAATGCTTTAATGTCTTCAGTTTTAACTATGTTTGCTGAATTAGTATGGATTCTTTAAATCAGAAGCTACTCAAAAGACCATTAGGTAGGAGGGCCAGTTGACATTGGATATGTGCTAATGACACATTGGTGGGAACAATGTGAACGTTGAATTTATTACTATGTAGGAAGCTTTATTTTAGATGAATACTATATGAAACCAATTTTATACTATATGAAACACTGAATGAAACCAATTTTCTCCCAATGCTTTAATTATCTCTTAAGATTGCTATGTAACTGGTCAATATAAAGATGATGACTTTCTTGTGATAGCTGAGTTAAGTCTCTGGTGAAGAATGTTTTATTTCTCCAGTTGCTTCTAAAATTTCTGACTCTGAAGCCTTTGTTTGAAATTTTTTATTTGTACTAGATAGTTTGTGTTTCCATGGTATTCCTTAAAGCATGATTTATTAAAATATAATTTTAATATCATGTCTCTGCTATATTTGAAGTTAAGTTTTATTATGTAAACATAAAAGCACTCAACACATTTTGAATTAATTGCTACTATTTGACATTTTAATGTATTATTTTCCCAGTTTTCAAGCACGATCAGGAAAACAATATATGGCCATCCATTAGTTCATCGCTTAATGGATCCAAAAGCTCAAAAAGGTAAATTATTTTATGTTTCCTTATGTAATTTGATTAATTGGAAGATGATAAACAACTAACAGAATACAAAAATCTTATCTTTTCAGTGTTCATTATTGTCTTAAATGGAGCTAGGACTTTTATCAATTACATACTATATCTTGGCTTGTGTTTGCTATCCGGTAAATATCTCTAATAGTGTTCAGTGTTTTACGGCTGTACCTACAGTCCTGATATGTAAAAGGTAATTTTGAAGATAATTAAAAAAATATCTATATTTTTTAATCTGCAAAAATGGAATAATTCTTTTCCTAAGTGCTCTACACGTGATTGTGATCTTGAGTTACTTTATTTCAGATAAGAAGATTGTAAGGGAGATAAGAAGTCTTATGTAAAACTACATGTTTTTACTCATGCTTGGATGAAAGATGATTTTATACTATGAAAATATTTATCACCTTTTTTTATGGTCCCTCTGATGTATTAGTTAAAGGCAAATACATACAGAATGTAATTAACCTCTTGGTGAAAGGAGAATTTAAGTTTGAATTCTGCTACCAGTGTAGTTATTTGAAATAACTCACCATTTTTATATCATCTTAAATACCGTGGATTTGCTGGATTATGCCATATAATTATCCCCATTATTTTGAGATAAAAAGTGAAGATACACACTCTTGCTATACCCTAGAAGAATTATTGTATTACCATGTTTTTGTAGTATATATTTTATTATTATTATTATTATTATTATTATTATTATTATTATTTTTTTAATCTTTATTGTTCAAATTATTACAAAGGTTCCTCATTTCTTCCCTCCTCCACCAGGTTCCTACCCCACCCTCTGCCCCCTCCACATCCCCCATTGTCCTCATCCATAGGTGCAGTTTATGTTCAGTCTCTTCCTCCCTTCCTTTCCCCGATAGTAAATCCCTTTTCAGATAGTAAATCAGTTACTTAGCATTTTCTCATATCAATAATACCTCCACATGCCCAATGATACATTTCACACAAAAGACATTTCCAAATAGGTCAACCAGCCTCATCCAGGCCCCACCCAAGGCACTCACAGATCAACACCCCAGCCCTATACTAACTCAACACATCCAGATCTAAGCCTTCATCACTTGATTCAGCAGACCCTCCAGTTCCCCCAAAAGTTTCCAGCCATGTCTGAGAGGCAGCCGTGGGGCAGGGGCAGGCGAGGAGCGAGCTGTTCCGGGCCTGGCTGCTCCGGGCCTGGGCTCTGTTGCTCTGGTTCGTTCCACAACCAGCTGCTCCGGGTCTGGTCACTGCCATTCCTGACCTAGTTGCTCTGGACCTGGCTGCTGCTGCTCCGGGCCTGGCCGCACCCGACCCGGCTGCTCCGGGCCCGGCCGCTCCGGGCCTGGCTGCTCCCAGCCCAGCAGCTGCTGCTCCAGGCCTGGCCGCATCGGACCCGGCTGCTCCGGGCCTGGCCGCTCCCAGCCTGGCAGCTGCTGCTCCGGGCCTGGTGACACCAGATCCGGCTGCTCCGGGCCTGGCCGCTCCCAGCCTGGCAGCCGCTGCTCCAGGCCTGGCCGCACCGGACCCGGCTACTCCGGGCCTGGCCGCTCCCAGCCTGGCAGCCGCTGCTCCGGGCCTGGCCGCTCCCAGCCTGGCAACCACTGTTTCAGGCCTGGCCGCACCAGACCCAGCTGCTCCGGGCCTGGCCGCTCCCAGCCTGGAAGCTGCTGCTCTGGGCCTGGCTGCACCAGACCCGGCTATTCCATGCCTGGCCGCTCCCAGCCTGGCAGCCTCTGCTTTGGGCCTGGCCGCACCAGACCTGGCTGCTCCGGGCCTGGCCGCTTCCAGCCTGGCAACCGCTGTTTCAGGCCTGGCCGCACCCGACCCAGCTGCTCCAGGCCTGGCTGCTCCTAGCCTGGCAGCCGCTGCTCTGGACCTGGCCGCACCAGACCCGGCTGCTCCGGGCCTGGCCGCTCCCAGCCTGGCAGCCGCTGCTTTGGGCCTGTCCGCTCCCAGCCTGGCAGCTGCTGCTCCGGGCCTGACCGCACCCAACCCGGCTGCTCTGGGCCCGGCTGTCCCGGGCCCGGCCGCTCCGAGTCTGGCCGCTCCCAGCCTGGATGCTCCGGGCTTGGCTACTGCTGTTCTGGGCCTGGCTGCTCCCAACCCAGCTGCTCTGGGCCCGGCTTCTCCGGGCCCGGCCACTCCGGGCCCGGCCACTCCGGGTCTGGGTGTTCCTGGACTGGCCACCCTGGGCTTGGCTGCCTCCGCCTCAGGCCTGGCTGCCACTGCCCCAGGTCTGGCTGCTCCAGTGCTGGCTATTGTTGTTCTGGTTCTGGCTGCTGCTGCTCTGGGGCCTGGCCGTTGCTGCTCCGGGCCCAGTTGCCACTTCCTTGTGTCTGGGCACTCTAGGCCTGGCCGCCGCTGTTCCAACATTCTGTCCTTTTTTTTTTTTTTTTTTTTTTTTTTTTTTAAATATATTTTATTGATTTTATACAGAGAGGAAGGGAGAGAGATAGAAAGTCAGAAACATCGATGAGAGAGAGTCATCGATCAGCTGCCTCTTGCACACCCCCTACTGGGGACGTGCCCGCAACCAAGGTACATGCCCTTGACCGGAATCGAACCCAGGACCCTTCAGTCCCCAAGCCGACACTCTATCCATTGAGCCAAACCGGTCCCGGCTTTTTTTTTTTTTTTTTTTAAACGCATTTATGTTGCAATGTTGGCTGGTGAGTTGAGTTCTGACTTAGTCTTTGATTTTTCAAGTTCTTCCTTGTATTCTTTCTTAAGTAATTTTACTATCTTTTGCTCTCACTTGATTTCTTCACATTGAGAACCTCTTTGGTTTCTTCCTCCTTGTCCTGGGAGCTCAGCAGCTTGGCCTGTGGCATCCCTTTGTTCTCCATGGGCTCCTGCGTGGCTTCAGCCTGTTGCCAGGGTCGGCGCCGCCCAGGAAGCAGCCCAAGGCCTTGGCTCCATTGCCCGTGCTCAGAGGTCGAGGGCTCAGGGGCCCCCCCCCCCCCCCCTGGGGTCCCTGTCACCTGGCTCCCTGCCGGCGCCCGGCTGGCCGGTGTCCAGCAGGGGCTCCTGTCGCATTCCTCCAGTCTGGAGCTTTTTTTTCTCTTTCCCGCTAGGGGAGTCTAGGATCAGAGTCAACCGACTGTCCTCTGCGCGCAGTGTGCACGACTCTGGGGGCTCCGCTTTTCGCCACTCCCCTGGGATTCTGACTCACAGCCCCATCTCCCCCTGCCCGAGCCTGGGTCCCCAGAGATTGGCACAGAACTGGGGTTCAGAGCAGTCCGGACTGAGGCTCGTCGCCGCCGGAGGCCCTGTTCCTTCCGGCTAGGGTAATCCAGCATCAGAGTCAACATTCAGTCCTCTGCACACAATGTGCGCGCGACTCCGGGGGCCCTGCTTTTCACTGCTCGCCTGGGATTCTGCCTCACAGCCCTGTCTCCCCCTGCCGGAGCCTGGGTCCCCAGGGTCTGGCTCATAACTGGGGGTCAGCGCTACTGGTTCGGGGGTTTAGCCCAGGCTGGGGGTTTTATTTCCTTCCTGCTAGGGAACGCCAGGCAGCACCCAGCCCTCTCCTCTCCGGCTGCGACCTCTCTGCACGCGCATGCGTGCGAGCGCGCAACATGACTCCGTACCTTAGGCTTTTTTTCAGCTCCTCTGATTTTCCTTCTGGTTTTCTCTTTCCTTCTTGTTGTAGAATTTTCAGTCAGTCGACTACCTGTAGCTCTGGGCGATGTCCACTCTACATTTTAGTTGTATTCCATTGAAATTGTTGTGTGCTGCTGCGGTTAAGTGTCTACCCGAGCAGCCATCTTGGATTCTCCTCTATATATTTTATTATTTTGGCTCATCTCCTTTATCTATACACTGTGGATGTTTTCTAAAAGCTATAGTCCTATTTTCCCCTTTTTTTAGGCATACCAGGTGCCCTCTACCTAGGTGAGCATATTTCTAGGCTCTGAGAGGTGGGTGTATGCCCAGTGTTGATTAAACACTAATGGTTTTCCTGTAGTGGTTTTTGTAAACCAAAACATGTAAAGTTGTAATCACTTAGAGAATCCAGCCATTTATAATAGATGATTTGAAGGAAGAAGCAATTTCTATGCAGTTTATGAATACAATTACATCATTATCAACTATGCTTGGTATCATCTGTGTGTACCATAATTTGGCATATTACGAAGGAAACGAAAGAAGTTCAAGGTAAGGTTGAGACAGAATTAGTATTAAAATATTTCACAACATCTCATAATCATCTATACAGCCAATTAAAGCTTTAAAAACATGTGTGTTATTGGCGTAGAGTCAGAGGGCATTTTGTTGGAAAGACTTTCAGTAACCAGAGGAACACTCAGTTCTCATGCACTAAAGGATGTTGACTTGTCCTGTCTTTACTCTTTTATACTTAGTATCTTGTGCTTGGAAAGGATGGAACTAACCCATAGCCCAGTTCTTCTATTTCAACACTGGCCTGAGGTACCTAGAATTACAAAATGTCACTTAGTTACAATACACAGATTGAAGTTAGGACTATGGTAGATGTTAAAATTTCCTCTTTCTTTGGTTTCTAATACTAGGTATAATCTAAACTGTTTAAAACCTCGATCCTCATTATTCCAGATATCTTATTTTGTCAACCTCGTGCAAAAGTCACTTCTCCAGTAGCAACGTGTTCTAACCAGTGGTGTGTACTCCTTAGGATCTACAATCTTGGAGTAGGTCCTCCCAACCCAAGGCTCAGTGATTCTTGTGCACAATAACACCTAAATTTGTACCCTCCTCCAAAGTGTTTGGTTGATATCCTATATACTGCCTTGTGTCCGTTTGGCTCTTTCAAGAAAACAGATGGGAAAATGGGATTAAACATGCAAGAGATTTATTGGGGGAAATGTTTGTGGAGGATAAAGAAGGAACAAAAGTAATCAAGGAGGCCTTCAGACCCTGATGCAAGTCTGTGGAGAGGTGAGCGAGAAGAATAGATTGTGCAGGAAGAGCCTTAAGACTGCAACACAGTTCTG